CTTTTCGTTTAAAAATATAAATATTTAAATAGATCGCTTTAAACAGCGATAACTTTGTTCGGTAACAAAAGAAAGCGCTAGCGTAAGGCTCAATATATATTGCGGCGGAAGGGAATGGAAGCGATTTTTCGTTACAATATTGTATATAGCGTAATTAACTTTATGGTCAGTACAAACTATATACGAGCCAAAAATCACGTCGGCGAGGCCTGGCTAATCCGCGGGAAGTGGCGCGAAGGCAAACGCAGTGTAGCGTCAGACGTCGACGAAATACTACAGCCTCAAGGCGCAGTCGCGAGCTTTCTCGCGAATGCTAAAGCAGCCCAGCGATGGCGTGTAGCGACGCGAAATTGAGGCTTCCGTTCCGCCGCAATGTAAATTAAACTTAAATACCCGTCTGATGCAAAACGCAGGACGGGGGCGAAGGTCGTCAGGCAGATCGCATGCACGTTTGAACTTACTGCCAAATAGTCTTCGAAAAAGTATCAGATATTACAACAAAAACTTACAACTTTATTTTTGGCAAATTTATGTTTTCTAACACTTTAGTGTTCGGTTGTTTATGATACTAGTACAGTCCTGAGACGTTGTTAACAATTTACAAATAGTCTTGTGTTGATGTATTTAACCAAATTGTTAAAGTGTAACCTGTTAATCCATCAATCCAATTGAGATGTGTACATAGAGAACGAATTTTCCGTCCATGTTCGCTTTATAAATTTTATATCGTTACATGTAACTAAACCAGCAAAGCATTTCCATTCTTTTGCATAATAGGTTTAACCCACAATTATATTACAAAAATGTAACTAATTAGAAAAGAAGAAACAATTACACTAATTTAGTTTTGTATTTTGTGTACGGCAAAGCATCTATAAAAATAAAATGATTATTATAAAAAGTTCGTTTTATTTTCTATAGATTATGAGGCTTTCGTAGTTATTCACTAAATACTTATCACTAATTACAGGTTGCTTACCACGGTATGAGTTCATTATGATTACCCGATATTTCGGAACGGGTACATGCTCCATGAGCACACCCCGGACACTCCATACGGTCGAAAGTTATTTATCTACTACTACTACATGCAGCAAGGCGCTATCTGCACACATAGAGCGGCAACATAGCGAAAATTCTTAACCGAAACTGTCTTATATTTACATATAATAAATTTATCTAAATATGAATTACAAAATAAAATCAACACATATCTACTAACACTAAGCTATGACAACACAGAGAAATTAATTGAAATCATAAATTAAACTAAACATACACACACACACGACACACTCACTCACACACACACACACACACACACACACACACACACACACACTCATGCGTATCTTCTCTACAAGTTCTACATATTACCGAACAATAAATGTAATTAACTGAATCTGAGTTGGGAGGCCTGGAAACCTAAAATACAAATCATAGATTTTGTTTAGGCTCCAGCTTTCCACAAATGTAATTTGTTTTGAAATTGTCACCTTAGATTTATTATCTCTTTTTAAGTAATATTTGTGGAAGGAGAAATAAACGATTTTTTTTAATTTTTTTTTTTATATTTAATTCTATTAAAAGAATCCTAATACTACACATGTTCATTAGGTATTTATATCGATATAATATTATATTTTTCATTAATTCACTAACTAGAATAACATGAAAAAATATATTAATAGCACTTAAAATATTATATTTTGTACAGGTTTTGAATAAGGTAACCAAGGTATCTGAAATTGCGTGTCCAAGTTTATCGTTACCTAGTTAATAATTAGGTATATTCACTACGTAATATTTATCGGTAATACAAATTGAAAATTCGAGAACCTTTGTCAACTAACTCACGAAGTTATGGCGTCTCATTATATTGATATAATAAATTTGTATTATTATACATTACTTTGCACTAAATAAACGAAGAAAAACATCTGAATGAGTCTCGGACATGAGTTTTTGTCATCTTTCGGAAAACGAAAGAAACTGCTCTCTTTATCCCGTTTAGATACGCAGCACAATTCACGACCATTATAAATAGTAACTTATAATGATGTTATATATTAACGTACAAGTTTCGTGATGAATAAATGAAAAATATGTTCAAATATCAAAGCTGTCTTGATGCGAAAACGGCTCGCTGACATCCTTGTTGTTGTTCAGTCAATGTGCGTGCAATGGGGCAATGGGGCGTGGTGTGCTATCGAAATCTAGGGAGGAGAGTGTCCATTCTCTTGCTTTTTGTTCTCTGCCATGAGCCAAGTTAAGCTAAGTTACCTCGTGCAACTACGTACGCAAAGCTAAGGCCGCCTTCCCACTATGTCGTAACGTTTTATTTATCGCTGGACTATTATCGCGTCCAGCCTGTTCCCATATCAGGACTATATGTCGTCACAGCACGTCGAGGACGTTTATTTTATCGTTGGCCGACTGTCGTGTCTAGCTGTTACCACTAGATCGTGACGACACTTTATCGGTTGCCGCCTTGTCTGTCGTCACATTTTCACCGTGACGTTTTATTTATCGTGTGACGACTGTCGTTCTAGTTCTTCGCGTTGTCACGACAATATGTCGTCGTTGTCAAGTTAAAAAAGTCGTGAACGACAGTTAATCGTGTTGTTCACAAACAACTTCATTTAAATATAAAAGTCACGACACTTTATACTGCACGGCTACCTGCCGTCACGACATAATAGGAACGCGCCCTAAGTTATCTATCTTCGTTCGCGGTGTGGCTTGCGCTTCACATAATGACGGTTTACCTGCGTATTTGTCTATTTGATGTGCGTCGAGAAACCAACCAGCGCGCGGTACCGGGAGTTTGGTGTTTACTGTATTTGTCGAATAGGCAAACAAGACAAATACTTTATCATATGGCGATTGATTGCCAAATATACAAATAGCCATGTGAAGTGCCACAGATTGATCGAAATGAGGAATCGTCTGTATATAAGTAATGAGTGCCTTTTTTTTTATATGTAATAGACACACGCTTGGCCGCAATCTCACCTGATGTTAAGCGACGATGTGACCGACGATGGGAAGCGTTTGCCTAAAAAATGCCTACTCACTCTAGCCTTGAATAGCCCCAAATTGTACTTTTCGGGAAATACAGATAGTAGAGCATTCCATTCCTTTGCCGTACGCATCAGAAAGGAGAAAGCAAAGCGCTTAGTGCGAATAGGTGGAATATCAACGACATAAGAGTAAAATGCTCCGGACCCTCAGTCGACCGAAGGAGATGTATCCGATAGAAAACCGATAAGCGGGCTACTTTTCTGCGATGGTCGAGATTTTGTAGCTTCGACTCCACAAGAGAATTGTTGTTAATAAGTCTCTTTGCTCTTCGCTCCACCGAGTCCAAGGCAGCTAACTGGGAATGGGCAGAGCCGTCCCAAAGGTGGCAGCAGTACTCCATACACGATCGAACTTGTGCTTTATACAGATTTAAAAGCTGTTCAGGTGTGAAGTACCGCCTTACCTTGTAAAGTACGCCTAGTTTTCTGGCAGTAGTTTTTGCCAAGCACTCGACTTACTTACTACTACAACGATTAAGGTAGCTGGCCTTGCTGCCCCATCTCAAATTTATACCTGTATAGTTAAGAAACGTCACTTGAAGCTTCTCAGCATGCTGATTTTGATTTTTAATCTAAATGGAACCGTCGGGTAAGTGTTGAAATCAGAAGTGTTTCCGAGCGAGATGATGAACCTGATTCCTCTCTGTCTTTCTAATTTGTGAGTTAAATCAACTGTTGTTCCGATTTGAAATGTCAAAGTTTCCGATCGGCCAGTCGTGAATCGCAATTATGCGCCTCGACTCGGAAAAGACGCAGTTTCCGATCGGGAGAAGCAATCAAAATCAAGCTGCAGATCTCCTGCCCGTTCATGGAACGCTTTTTTTTCTTTTAAGTACAGACAGTACTTTGGATCATAATAAAACAAACATATAAAAATACATAATGGACATTTATTTCGTGGAGAATAAGATCCGCAATAATAAATACAGGTACAATTTCGACGTAGTGTTATTTACAAAGCAAACTTCCTCACAAATAACATTTTTTTAAATGCCGCCAAATATATTAGGTTATGTCACAACCCGCCTAACGCCATTTTTGATTAGGGCCGTTTATAAACTACGTGATTAAAAAAAAATTACACGTCAATGGTACACGCCCGTGCAAGATTGCACTGTAGAATCTAAAATCGATATTTCCGTTGTAAAATACAAACTGTAAAGTTTAAAAAGCGAGAGAAAAACAATAATATATCGTTTGTACCTCTCATACCTTTTTATTTTTGCAACTATTTTTATGTAAGCCAAACTTGAAATATTAATCCAACTACACTCGTGGACACATTTAGAGGTACGCTAAAAAAAGTTCAATAATGATTACGTTCACTGGCCACAAATACCACAATATTTAATTTAAAAAAAAATTCTTTTAATTTCGATTGAACGTTCTGGTATGTGACCAGTGGTTCAAAGAAAATTGATATAATAATTCAACCTTTTTTTAGCGTTTCTATCATTGACTTACAATTATATGGACGTCGGGTCCGCGCTAAAAAGTGTCCGCACTTGTAAGGCGCTAAAATCGTATATAGAGCGCCAAACTCCGCTTTAGTCTTAATTTGTTCGACTGATAGCGCGATACTGCGATGACATTACAATTTAAATTTCGAATAGGTTGACTTGGGACATTTTTTTCGTGGTTTTTGTATTAGACCCGTCGTCCATTTATTTGTAAGTCAATGGTTCCTATATATTGATTAAAATCATGATATTTTACTACTATGTCATTGAATTATTTTTTGTAAAATTACTCCACTATAATATGGAATCATAATTAAAACGTCCAAATTGTAAACAAAGAGCAAAAAAAAAAAATACATTTCAAATGGTACTTTCCTATAGAGTTCTTAGGTTTTCGCGATTGTTACACATAGGAAATGAAATGAAATTAAAATTGCAGAAAATGAGAACCTCCTCTTTTTCCAATTTCAATAAAAGGTTTAGCACACCTGCATTCACACTTCTACAATGACATTTCTTTGTTTACATTTTGGACGTCAAAGTTTTGATTCATACTACAGTTCGTTGGAACAATTAATATAAATAAACATTCCTTCGGTCTGACAGGTCTCGAAACCGCGTCTCTATGCCAATTTAGAGCCACCGTTCTTCCAATATAATGTCCATGAGTACACATTAATATTTTTTTAGGTTTAACGCTGTAACATTTTACAACCTTTCCTTCCCGAAGTACCGATATTATGCTCATGACAAATGCATGGCATATATAAATTCATTCATAATTATTATATAAATAACGTTTTTAGTGCATTTATATACATTTTTATTAGGACTTACTGCCTTTTTTTCTATTGATTTTTTCCTTTGATAGATTATTTTACTTACACTCGGACATCGTTATTTATTCCAACAGTAACGCATAGTTTACAAACAGCCCCTTGGGTTGCCATATTATATTGCACAATAAAAATCACAGTTTATCTGAATTTGACAAGGATGGTACTACCATTTTTGACTGAAAAGAACGCTAGATCCTTCATCATGTTGTCTAAAACATGAGTTGCACCATTCATTTGCTCATCAACCAAGTGTAAAGTTGGCTGACCAATGTGACCAGGTTTTGAGAACAATTTCTGCGCAAGTGTGACGAGTTTCTGGACTGCCATATTTTTTGGGAATTTCTTCTTTACCGATTTGCCGTTCTCGTCGTATAGTTTCACTTCTATTAGTTGTGATGTTAGTGTGGTGCTTTTAGGTTGTTTTACAAGGAGGCTGTCTTCTGGTATGCCGTACTCTGTAATGTAAATATAATAAATAATCAATATTTGACATTTTATTAACATAAATTGATTGGCGCTCCATTACGTTGGGTTGAAAAAGGTTCATCAAAAACTTTTTTATGGAGTAACACGCTTTATGGTGCATAGTTTTAACAAAGACTGGGTTTAAATAAAACCGAAAAAGTTATTATTTCAAACGCCATTGTGACGCTGCAGCTCGCTTCTAAATATTATACGAGCGCAGTTGCAGCGCCACTTTTGCAGACTAGATTATTGTATGAAAACTAGTTGTGGCGTATAGGTAAGTTTAGGCGTCCATAGACTCGTGTATTATTTCCTTGTAAGGTATGTATGCTCTTTGCGGATTTTTGTTAATAACTGGTTAAATCAGATGCAAGACTAAAAACTTTTGACTAATAAAAATTGTAGATAATTATCGAGTTCTTAGGTTTTCGCAATTGTTACGCATAGGAAATGAAACTATTTTTCCGGATTTAAATCGCGTATATTTGTTTTTTCAAAATCAACCGTGACCACGGGACCTGTAAAGGGCCCGAAACGTTGGTTTGTTTGAATCCGGAAAAATAGTTACATTTCCTATTGTAAATAATTATTTCGTTGTAAATATTTTTTGAAATATCATTGTTTTTTTCGTTATTAAGAAAATTACAGAATACTCACTGTTGACAAGTTGATCAAACCGACAATGCTCTGTGTCGAACTTGAGTTTCTTCATCATATCGTTCTGCGCTTCTTTCCACTCGGCACCGTAACGTTTCAAGTAGTCGTATTCGGCACCGCGACGAAGATCTCGAGTTATTATTGAGCCGTTTAGTTCCTGAAAAAATAGAAATGGATCTTAATGATTTTTTTTTCTAACCACCATAGACTTAGAGAGGGTGTCAATTATTCAGAGGGTTTTATATTGGTTTTTAGTCCTGAAAACTTTACTTATCACGTCGATTGCCAGAAAAAAATATTCATGTAATTATTAATACAAAAATCGAACACTTAAGGAGAAATTCCTTCGATCCGGCCGGATTCGAACCGACACGTCTTCTAGTATACCGTGCCAGACGCTATGCCAACTAAGCTACGGAACGAACTAGCGGACCTCACGAATTTTTCTATGTGCTTGTTGTCGGGTTGTTGTATTTGGTTTTCAACGACTTTTTAGCCGTAGCGCCATCTATGAGAAAATGTATGAAAGTATTTCATCACCCAGTTAGGTGACTTTACAGCTACCAGCCCTGGCTAGAGATGTCGCTAGTAACAGTAATTAAGTTTGTATTGCATTGATATTGTATTAATAATTATAACATACTAGTGGAGTAATTCACAAAATTGAATATTAATTTAATACAAATTTAATATTTATGCATTTCAATCGTTTACGCTCTACAACAAAATCACGAACCAAATTCTGAAGTTTTCGCGAGATTTTTTTTCGAACCACAGACACAACAAACGCAACATAAGCCCACGATTAGAGGTCTTTGGCAATCATAAACGTCTTTCGGACGACTTAAAAGTGCTAGCTACATCGCGTCACTAAAATAGTCCACACACAATCGCATTAACGTAAAAAAATAAAAGTAAAAATAATATGGCGCCACCGTCTATGCGGAAAAGGCACGGAACTAAAACCGAGCGTAGTCTTAGAACACCAAATGGTCCACACACACAGAGAGAGAGACACACAGAGGCACACATAGGCCCACAGAGGCACACAGAGATACAAGAGTTTCCGCAGCGCAGTCAGCTCTGTGAAACTGTAGGTTTATTTACTTTGATGAATTATTATAATTTTAAATTATAATTATCTTTTTGGTTTTTGTGTTTTACATTTTAATTCAATATAGATAATCAAATTCGCCAATTCTTGCGATAAATATTCTATCGACTATCGACTGAATATTGGTCGCGTGATAAGTATTTAGGGAATAAAGTATGTCGAAATTGCCAAGTTTACAGGGGAGCGTTTTAAAGTTTTAAATTCACTGACATAAGCATATCACGTGACTAGCATTTCTCAGTTTTATTCGGCAATGTACGTTACTCACATAGAGCATTATAAAATCCTAGATATCGGTTAGATGAACAACCACAATTTATTTTATACTGTCACCCGACCCGCCCAGTCTCACTTTAGTTTATTCGCTTGTTGACGCCTATCCGCGTTAGTAGGGGTCGAAATAGCCGAATTTGTTTCATTTGAATCATCCTCGACCCATTATTCACCCAATTACTGAGCACAAGTTCATTCGAATTACACACACTGTATTTAAACCCATGTTTATGAAAAATACAAAGAGGAGACAAATTTGAAAGTTTTTAATTTTAATTCAATATAGATAATTCAAATCCGGCTATTTATGTTAAAATGTATATGAATGAAAATAGATCTCGATACTAGTAGGCCTACTGTTCAAATAAGAATAACGAAGGCAATAACGCAATTAGTAATCATTAGAACGCCGTAACATTCACAATTTTGTCATTAAAATTTTTGGGAAAATTTTATCTTCTTTCACAATCTATCGATAAAACTATCGACAACAACTACATAACTATTTAAAATTTTATGAAAACTGGCAACCCTACAAATATCGTTCTACTCCGTCTTCAAAAAGGACAGACTGCAGAAAGAATATTGTCAGAGCGTAGGAAGTGGAATAAAGTCTGCCTAACCAAGTGGGAGACAGACGTGAGTAAGTGTCTTATCTAGTATAGCGTAGATAATTTTTTCACCTGCAAAGTGTCAATTTTCGCAATAATAAGTTGCGAACCAGTATCGTAGTCCTCAGTGTTCTGAATAGGGTTTTTTAGGAAATAGAGTTTCTTCAATCTTTTCAGCTTCCCCAGTTCACTTACAGATTGCCACTGGAAATCAACAAAGGTAATGTATGAATATGGATTATACTTAAGATAGTACTTTGGTTTTACCGCTAGAAAGCGTTGACCGTTTTTTGAATCGATTCAGAAGTCGCAGTGTTATAGAGCACTGGCGAGGCACTGTCCATATAGCTCGATTCCCACAGGCTTGCCTAAAATTTTCTTTTACCAGTTACCAGTGGCAGCGCGCATGCCCCACCACTTAAAAAACATTTATTCAAAATATTCACTATTAAACGCGTAATAACTTGTCCCGATGCATCTCAACCAATCAGCGCGAGGTAAGCCGGCGGATCGGCGAGTTCTATTTCATTCATGAAATCTAAAGAAATGGCGGCCTTAAAGCCGGAATCGTTCGAGTTATTGTCGAATAGCGTTCACTTAAATTTAAACCTTATTCTTGTAATAATGTAACAAAATTATTATAATAGCAAATTAATGCAAAATATGGTTAATTTCTATTTTGTAAATCTTAACGATAAATAGTGTTACATGTATGTATCTCTATTTGATTGGGTGTTTCTTTTTAATAGGCCTAGGTAAAGAATGTATGCAGAAGGTCATGGTAATTCGTAGGTAATTAAAGAAGCAACATTTAGCAATGATGAGTTTGTTTACAAACTTTCGTATCGCGACGGGGAGATTGAAATGTAAAATAACTTTAAAAGCTACGGTTATTTTACGTGTAGAATAAGTTAACTTGTGAAATGAAGGGAACTAGCATCTTGTGTGCTAATAAGTGTTGCATTTAGGTGTCGCCAAGGCACCATTTTAACGGGAATATAATTTTTTGTTAAATTAAGTAAGTGTTGTTTTTTCTTCCAAAACTAAAAGCTTCGGCTTTACCAAGGAAAATATCCACGCCTCGCCATTGACATGCATATCAACAGATGGCGCTGTAAATAAGTTATAAATTAACGCTTGTTAATATGGGTAGATGGAGCTAATCCTAAATAAAGGAATAAGCTCCATCTAGTCGCTTTATTTGTTATTACTAGAAATTACAGTAGCTTTGCGAAAATGCAGCTCTTCAATGTACAACAAATTAATTTCAAAAATAGCTATTTGGCACTTGTTGCGACATCTGGTGCGCAAATAGGTACTAAATAGCCGGCCACGCAGTCTAGTATCGCGATTACCCGACCTCTACAGTTATTGATCCATGTTTCAAGTAAATATTAAATAATTTTATAGAAATTTGTAGTCAGATTATTACAATGTTATCAAAATTGCAATTTAAAAAAAGATTCAATTAAATTTTAATATACTTACATCATTTATCCTGTTCCGATTCAAAAACAAAACTTCTAAATTTTCAAAAACTTCCACTTTGTCTTCCGGGCTATCGTTAAACCTTATCTCCTCAATAAAACAATCGTTCAAACTTAACACTTTTAAATCTTTCAAGGAGCCCAACTTCAAAACATCATACCATGAGTCTATAGGATTCCCATCCAAGCGTAAGATAGTCAAAGAATTTAATGTACGTGTAAAATCTGATACAGAAATTTTCCTTATACGGTTGAAGGCTGCAATAAGTTCGTTTATATTGGGCCAGAGGTACGATAGGGTCATGACGTCGGACCATTCATAGTCACAAACGGAGATGTTGATTTTTTTCAGGTTGGCAAAATTTATTGAGAGCTGGGTTAAAGTTTCTTTGGGCATGTCTATTGCCATGCGATTTTTGCTGTAAAACAAAATAAGTCTTTTTTAATACAGTTGCTCAAAACGTGGTATTTTTCGTACTACAAATCGTGCCTTTTTTTTTTTATTTTACTGTTGTTTCAAGTCTCAAACATAGAACTAAAGAGAAATATGCTTTGTGACGTAAGTCATTCGTCATTAAAACTTATATACACTTACAAACATCTTATTTGTTTAAATTGCACAGGTGTTTTATAAAACAACGGGTTACATTTAAAAATACCATAATATTTTCTACAAAGATGGCTGATTGAGTATTAACAATGACCGGAGGTGAGTATTACGCGAGACGCGAAAATATACTGTTTTATTTTACTTTCAATGTAGTTTCTTCGCTACAATGTATTAAAAAACGTCGTTTGATGTACGGATTTGTCATTTTCGCTTGTCTCGAGTCGTGAAGAAAAGAGAGAGAAGCCTCGAGACTCGTGAATGACTAACTTTCCGCACTTGTATCAAAAATAACTATTTTAGAAGCATCCTTAATGGTTGATTTACATGTATTAAGTGACAGTCTTTAAGTAAGTTTTAACTTAATTTTAAGAAGTCTAACATTTACAAGTTTCCAGGGAAGTACTGCAACCTTACTTGTTTCTGCCGCCAAGCAGTAACGTGAGCATCCCCGCGCTCCGGTTTTGAAGGGTGCTGGTGTAATTACAGGCATATGAGACTTTTCAACTTATGTCTCAGGGTGATGGGCACAGTGACAGTGCTCCTCAGATCTTTGCGATTTAAAGCTCTGAGTGGCACTGCAACTGTTATGGACAGACGTGTCGCTTACCAATAGACACACGATTTGTTCGTCCCATCCCTTAGTACCGTTAAAAAAAAAGCTATAAGTACTTTGACATTTTGCAAACAAAACGTTAGTTCACCAAATTCTTCAAGTTTCAAGCCACATCTACCGGGGAATGTGCAAGGTGCCGCTGGGTCGGTCACTTTGTCAAAAAATTAATTTGATTCTCGTTTTTTTGTCTACTTCTCCATCGTTAAATTACTTAACAGCTGTCAAGTGATTGTTTACTCGCATATAGTTAATTATTTTATCACTTAATACGTGTAAACCAGCCATAATACTGAAACTGCTAAGTTGATAACCCAGACAGTTATCATTTAGTATTGTGAAATAAATACTCTGGCTTTGTAGTGTTACCCCCTTGAGTTGTCAAAACGACAAAAATTTGACAGATAATGTTTCTACTGTTACAATAATTATTAGAAAACAATATTTTAAATGGCAACACTATCCAAAGTTTGACTGATTAATTAGTAGAAACAGTAACATTGTGACCAGGCGAAAGCCTTAAATCCTTTCTGCACCGCGAGCATTCGCTTGTATAACGTTCAAAAGCGAGCACTGCAGGCGGTGAGGAAGGAGAGTCGAGCATGCGTTGCGCAACACTTATAACATTCAGTAGCCTCCTTCGCCGAGAACGTTCGCCTGTAATATAACAATCTGTTAACATTGTAACTCTACCAGATACAGTGGAAATGTTTTCAAGTCTTTACGTAAGTTAGGTGCCTGTGAGTGCCCGCGAATACCTTTGAATGCCCACGAGTGCCTTTGTGTACTAGCGAGTGCCTTTGAGCGACATTGAGTGCATTGGAGTGCCTTTGAGTGCTGGCACTGGCACTCGCTGGCACTCACTAGCACACAAAGGCACTCGCGGACTCTCAAAGACACTTAAAGGCACAGCTGGCACTCGCTGGCAGTCAAAGGCATACGCGGGCACTCATAGGCACTCGCGGGCACTCATAGGCACTCGCGGGC